GCTCTGGATGGGAGAACAGAACCACACAACAGAACATTGTTGTAAGGAACACTACGTCATCACAGCAGGAAATGTGAGACATTCTTAGAGCGAAACACTGGGGCATAGGAACCAGGGAGGCGGGGGGGGGGCGCATACCCCAATATTTAATTTGGCCTCACCACCCATTCCCCCAAATAAATAGACCTTTTCATTTAAATTATTAAGTTATGTCCCCCAATACCAAATTCTCTCCTACACCCTTGGTAAAGTGGATATATTCCCATGTGGTTTAAGGCACAGTTGAAGTGAAAATTAAGCTTCTTCACACTTTTCTGTGCCCTGGGTGCTCGCGTGCAGCACACAGTAGCACATTGTTTACATACGTATGTAGATGGATGCGGTATAAGTAAGCGAGACGCCGAGCGACTGGACAGGCTGGTGAGGGGAGCTGGCTCTGTGGGTGGCACAGAGCTGGACTCGGTTACATATGTGGCAGAGAGAAGGACCCTTAACAAACATCTGACCTTCATGGACAATAAGAGTCACCCGCAGCACAGCGTAGTCTCCAGGCAGAAAGAGTCTCCTTAGTGGCTGACTGTGGTCACTGTCCTGCCCGACAGACTGAGGAAGTCTTTTGTCCCCCAGGCCATACAGCTCTACAGCGCCTCCCAGAGACGCATCCAGGCATGAGCTGCTTCTGTGTTCTCTCTGCTTTCTAATATACAGTATATAGTTTTCATACATTAAAGATAAATGTATACTCTACAAAATACATGTAATGTACATATAATTATTTCATTTTTCATTTGTTATGTATATTTCATATTTCAAGTATCTACTATTATACTATGTATATTATATAAGGTTAAATTATTTCTATATATACATTGTCTTATGTCAGAGTCAGCGGCCGTCTGATCCTGCCCTCCGTGTCCCTTTCCCATTTGGCCAGCAGGTGTCACTGGCCATCCTGTCCTCTTCCCTATTTCCTTCCCTTCAGCCCCAGCATGCCTAAGTCCCTAGTGTGTTTTCCCTGTTCCCTTCATTGCTGCATAGGTCAGTGGGCTGAGTGTGCGACTCAGATTCTGTTCCCACGTGTCGTGGGTTCAAGGAGGCAGTCTCACCTGTGTTTTTGCATTTTTGTCCTCTGGTGTTTATTTCGTGTTTTCTTATTGTAGAGTTTCTCAAGGATTATTGTGATTATTTCCGTGTGTTCTTGTTTCTAGTATCTCCTGCTGGTGTGTCCCCTAGTCCTTACAGTAGATTCTTAGTCTTTAGTGTGTGTTAATTCTTAGGGTTATTGTGTCCACTCATTTCTAATAAATGGATCTGTGTCTTCCTTGATTGGTTCATTGATTATGTTACACCTGTTCCTTGATTTCCATGGATGTCTGTGTACTTAAGTGCCTTCCCTCACTCTGTGCATTAGTCTGCCATTGCAGTGATGATGTAATGTTGCCATGTGCTTTGGTCTATGTACCCTGGTCCTGGTTCTGTTCTCTGTGTTGCCCTACTCCCTAGTTGTGTTTTCATTATGGTTATTTTTTTGTAGCTTGTTTTCGTAATAAATTCTGCTTTTGTGTTGCTGCTAGTGTTCTCTGCTTCCCTGAAATAAAACCCCTTGTTGTTTTGGAGCCGCAAGTGGATCATTACTTTTCTTTTCCTGCCTGCACCCTGCCCCGCGTCCACAACAGTTTTATATACTGTTTTGTGTTAAAGTATATGGATTATACAGTCATGGAAAAAATGAAGAGACCAATTTTTTGTTTCACTCATTTCTCAATTTATGGGTGTGCGTCTGTGAATAATATATATCTTTGGCAAACTGCAGCCTGGTTTTTCTCTGCTTCTCATTGATGAAGGGCTTCTTCCTTGATTTATGGGAGTTCAGTCCTGCCTCTCGGAGCCTGATACGAACTGTCCTAGCAGTGCACTTCACACCTGCACTTAATGTTTCCCATTCATTTTGAAGGTCACTTGTTTTCATCCTACGATTCATGAGAAACTGTCGGAATATTATGTACTCATTCTATCATAAATATATAATGTATGGTAGCGTCCGTCCGTCCGTCCGTCTGTTGTGAGAAAGCTGACCCGACATGAGGACTGAATTATGTGGCATGGGAAGATGGACCCATGTGAAATGTAGGAAGATGGACCCGTGTGAAATGTAGGAATAGGGTAGGATAAACAGTTATAGAAAATGGATGGATAAATGGATGAGTTGTTGGGGATAGACAACTGAAAAAATTCAAACACAGATCACTGCATGGGAGACTGCTATGCATTCTGGGGGGAAATTAAGTTAACCTGTATAATCACCTGCATAACCTCCCAGAAAAGATGATGGCCTTCTTCCACTTGCCGGTACATAATCGCCTGGAGTGACATGCACAGAATCCCAAGGAGGAAGGAAATGGAATAAAAATAGAAACAGAATAGGCACAGGCTTTTGACCACACCCTGTCACTTGGTTAGGTGGCATCATGCCCAAACCTGGGTCTGAACCACCCTGCTGTCTTCAAGCCTGTTGCATAGGAACACAGACTCTGCACTACTTCTTATAAATAAAAATCTGATGTAAATAAAAACATTAACAATGGGAAATGAATCATATAATTAAACAGAATTCCCTCTGCACTGAACTGATCAAACGACTTAATCCATATACCACATATCATGCCCAAAAACAACCAACCTACCGGAAAACATAGTTAATACCCATAGATGGATACTAAAATATGACTCAAAAGTGTCTTACGCAACAGACGCAAAACACTCCGTAGCAGCACACAGTCGGCCATCTATGCGCTCTGATTTATCGTGAGACATAAACGGAGCCTGATATCTTATTAGACGTGCAGTTTTACGTCGTCACTGACACTGGCAGACGCAGTGTCTGCGTGCGTGAAAAAACTCACTGCTGGTTTCCCTCGAGCAGTTTCAGGGTGTGGCCACTGTGTAAAAAAAACACGCTTACAGAAACTGGAGACTATGACAGCATTTTCTAAAAAAAAACATCAAATGCTGAGATTCGGAGGAGGCGAAAGTTTTAGATAGATGCCGCTAAGTTTATGTTATTTGTTTGTCTAAATATACATTTCGACAGTTATAATCTAATATCTGTATTATACTATTATAATCACCAACAACAATAGCAATTATTACGTTACAACCTGGTTCGCTATGCTACTTATAAGATTAGAATACAAACAGTCGATAAAGGTACTTAATGATGATAAACATAGTTTTAAAACGTGTCACACATTTTTATTCCATTCACTATTAAACGTATAATGATTAAGTCAAAACATATTGCACTGGGGCTAAAAACCTCACAAAGCTCCCATCATAATGCTCGGTTATAATCGCAACTGAGTTTTAGTGAAAAGACGACGTGAGTTCATGAAATCAATATGACCCCCCACCCCCAGACAAAAGGTGTGTCGGAGAAAAAGCGGCTGTGACGTCACATACCTACCTGACTTTCAGGAAAAAGGTGAGGAGGGGGGGAGGAAAGAAATACACAAAATAATTTCGGGTCGAATAAGGAAAGCGCTTGTGTTCAGGATAAGGACACTGTGCGTCTCTTTTCGTAGTTATAATATCAACTTTTGTTTGGGAGTCGATCGATCGCGAAGTTTCGTCATCGGAGTGGATTGCGGAGTGAAAGCCGGAGTTGCTGCTTGTTCCCCGATAAGCCGTGTTTGCGGGTAAGGTGGCGTGAATTGAAAATCTCGAAAATCCACGGCGTGAAAGCGCCGTGGATCCCCTGCTGGCTGGAAACATGCGGAGAAATCGCAAAAAAAGTGAAGACTGTATCTGTAACTAGCAGATTATTCTTCATCTTTGAGATTAATGACAGTGTTTAACTTCCAGGTGTTTTGTTGTGTTGGGAAGGTGAACGCAAAGTTTACATAGTTTCAGAGAACGGTAAAAGGCAGTAGTTTTCCAAATTATTATTCAATAATTATTGGCTCACAAAGGTTACACAAAGTACTTTGTGCCCTTTATATGTGCCGCGTGCGTAGTGTAACTTTTTAAACATGCTTCTCAGATATATATTTATTTTTTGCATTAGAAATTAGCACTCATTGTTTTTGGCCGCAGCTGAGCTACGAAAACAACCAAAGAATCTCCAACAGGCAGCACGATTATCTAAAGTTAAAGTATAAAATCTGCTGGTTTTTTTTTTTTTTTTACTTATGAAGGGGTAAGGGGTAAACAAATTCAGAGCGGTAGTTTCACTATGTTGTAGTCGACACTATTTAACCCGGCGTGTACAGCCTGGATTTGTAGTGCGGCCTAAAATCAGGAAACATTGTTTTGCATGTATTGCAGACCACGAGGAAAAGATATAATAAAATTGGCCAAATGGCCAGAAACAAGTAGCCTTTTGCTCAGTTTTAATAACTTTCGCTCAAGCTGCATCCAAACCTATCGTGGGTAACAGTAGGGATTACATTCAATTGTACTCCAAAACATTACGTCACTCTGTTCTGATTATTTTTTTAGCACCCTGTAAAAAGGTCATAACAAAAGACATAACTATTGATGCGAAGATGAATAGCAATTTAAGTTTGGTAGCGAAAAGCCAAAAAAGATTATTAGCGGGCATTTCCGGCTGAGGTGATTACAGCTATGCACTTAAACTGCGGCCTATTCTTGACGTGATTGTATACCATTGATATTCCCAACTATAATATATATATATTTTGTTATTAGGCACGGCAGCGTGCCTAGTGTTTACAGACACATTTCATATTGTGATGCAGGTTTGCCAACTTTGGTCAGCTTGCTGGAGAGAGATTTTCAATTCCAAACAAGTCTGCACACACATGCACATGAAATAGTCTGTAGGGTTTGCAAACTACCCCAATAGCTAATTTAAGCTTTATAATGAATAATACAGATTTGCTGTAGGAGTTCTTGCGTGTGCGTGAGAGTCTGAAAGCGTGAGCGTCGCGCCAGATGTGTGAGAGCTGGCAAACCTGATTAATAATAATAATAATAATAATAATTGATACTTTATTGATCCCCGTGGGGAAATTGTTTTTATGCCTCCCTCAACTTGCTCTTTGTAGAGCAAGAAATTAAGAAATGTGTCCCTAAGTGTAATGCCCCCTACTGCCCAGTTCGAGCTACAGACACTTAATGGCCATTTGACTATGTATCAGGAACTGACACTTCCTCTGCATGTGTACTGGCAGGGGTTATACTGGTACATGGCGGGACTGGGATTAAAAATAGGCCCTGGGGTTTGGGGTCCCCCATGATGAATTTTGCTGACCCACTGGGAAAATGCCCGGTATGCCAGATGCCCAGTCCAGCCTTGGGGTGCATTTCCCAGAAGCACAGTTGCCAACTACGTCAGCAACTTGCGTAGTTGGAATCATACAACCGAATAGCTTCTGTGGGAGCCATTTATAACTTTGGGGTGTATTATGTATTTTGGCCACTGGGGGGTGTATTGCACAGGGTGGTTTGATCACGTGAGGATAGGTGGGTATGTGGTCACGGTATGAATAGGTGGGTATTAATAGGTGTTTTCCGCTTGGATAGTGTGGATGGCGGAGGGAACACGGTTCTTACCGTAGCACCTGTAAGACAGCATGCTACAAACAGCATGCCGTCAGCACATTGTACCCCACAAGTGTTGCAGGTTAAAGCAAACGGTCATTTTTATGTGAACCGAAGATTTGGAATAAACAGGAACATCACCTAACTGCAGAGACCGCCTGGACATCGGTTATTTGTAGCTACATGTTGAGAACACTTGGCCATCCATTCTGAGGCTTACAGGAAAGCCTCTACAGGTTCAGCTGCGTAAGTTACTAACAGTAGCTTTTGGGAACTGCACCCCTGTTTGGGACATTGCCTGCCTGATAAGGAGGATACCTTCTTACATCTTGGTGTGTGAGTTTGAGCGTTGATCCGTAGGCCGAAGCCATTAGCCTGACCGTACCAGGGCGCCGATGTAATCGATTATCTTGTTGGCCTGTCTGCTGGTGTGTTGGTTGTGTCACATCGGTGGAGTCCTGCTACTCAGACCTGCAGTGCGCCCCCCAGGTCGATGGCGGTTCACCCCCGGCGTGTGCGACTCAAGCCCTGGCTGGTAGCCCAGGTGAACCTGGGGCTGTACCCAGGCCTGGTGTGGCTGGACCGAGAGGCGAAGAGATTCCAGATCCCCTGGAGGCATGCTACACGCCACTCCCCTCAGCAGGAGGAGGAGAACACCATCTTCAAGGTACGTGGAGGGGGGAGTCAAAGCAAGTTATTACCGCCTAATTACACAGGGAGCTCAGCTGGTTTATTTGGGCTGCTCTGCAAAACTTATAACTCAGTGGACCTTGTTACATGTGGCCTAGATGTTTATTGTTATTCTTGTGACACAGTAGTACTCTGTTTAGGGCATTGTGTAGGTATCACATAGTTAATTATTGATAATACTAATTGAACTACCTTCCAGAGTTGTAATGAACACTAGCAGTCAATGCACAACTTAGGGTCTGTTATGTTTAACAAGTTGGTGGTACTTAATGGTTGGTAAACAGATTAACCCTTTAATTCGTCTTTTATGGATAAGTAACCTTTTGCTGCTGTCAGGACAGTATCACCCTAGTTTTATACTACAGATAGACTGGCCTGTATGAAAGGGTTCACTTTGAACGTATAAAATATCATAATTTGCAATATGTGTTTTATTTTATTGAAGGGACCGGTTTGCATTTACAGTTGTAAAAAACTGCCTTTCATTTTCCCAAATATTTTAATAGATCATTAGATTTTAGAAAAGAGATCATAAACTTGCTAATTTGAAAGACTTTGATGAAGTTTTCACTTTATCTAAAAGCTATTGCATTATATTCNTGGTTCTGCTCGAGGTTTCTGCCTCCAAGGTTTGCAACCCTATGCACAACACTTTATTACATTGCAACAAACACACACACATGCCCTATTGCATCCCTTGCACATTTTCTTTGACACTTGACCCATTTCATAAGCTACACCTGGAAGTGCTTGGTTGTGGATCTACAGCTTGTGCTGCTGATAGCTGGGGACTGTGTGCAGGGGTGATGAGGTGTTGTAGAGCTTCTTTCCTGTGTTTGATTCTATGGTATGTTTCCCTCCATTTTTTGCATCGTCTGCGCTTTTCTCTCTCACTTAGGTTATTGATCCTTTTCTTCCTGCCTGATTCTAGGTCCTCCCTGTATTTCTCTCATTCCTTCTCTAAATATCATTCTCTCCTCTTGGGTCGGCATCACGTCGAGCACGATAGCATTGTGAAACTGATCTTAAATCTCAACAAATTCAGTAATTTCAACTGTAAAACTTAAAAGTTGAATAGTATTACACTGACTAATATTCACACTAATAAATCAATAAACCAGAGGGCTCTACTCACTCCTGTTACTGGCACTCAGTCCTGTTACTCTTTATATGAGTATCAGGACTGAAAGTAACAGGACTGAGTTTTTAGTATAGAATTAGCAAAAACATGAAATATAGCTACATGGTGGCTATGCTAATAGCACGAGAACATTGAGTACATTCTAGTGATCTACCAAAAATTTGTATTTTAAAAATAAACAGATAATATCCAAGAATTAATTTAGGTATCAGGACAGAACATTGAGATTGACCTCCTCAGTCATAGTTAAAATTTTATCAAATATAGAGGGAAAAAAAGGAGGGAACTTACTTTTCGTCTACCCATGGCCTTCAGAAGATCCAACAGATGCAACTTCCTGTTGAACATGTGACTTGTGGAATGTTCCAAATTTTTCAGATGGGGTAATATGTTAGGGTAACAGGACTGAGTGAAAACCTAGGGACACAACTAAAATGATCGCAAACACCTGGGAGCCATATCACCACTAGTCCGCATTATCCCCAAAGCAACGGTTTGGCTGAGAAGGGAGTGCAGATTGCCAAATCGCTCATGGAATAGTCCATTACTGATCAGAAAGATCTGTGCCTGAGTCTTCTCGAGTAACGTAACACCCCAGTTGATGGCTTCAGATCACCAGTACAGCTTCTAATGAGTCGTCGCATACGCTCAACCTTACCCAGAAGTCATCAGCAGCTTCAGACAGAGAGTTTCGTTCCAGAAGAGTTCATCAACAAGACCACCAGAAAAGGTATTATGACAGATCCACTAAACCAATGCCATCACTGCGCAATGGACAATACATCCGATTCCAGGAGCACGGCTACTGGAAACCAGCTGTAGTCATCTGGCGAGCTGATACTGAAAGGTCATATCACATACGTGCAACTGATGGAGGACAGGTGTACAGTATAGGCGAAAGAGACGACACCTCCTTAACACTATGGAAGCACGTATTGCCCTTAACATACTGCATATACGTAAAAAGAAGGGGGAAAATTGTTTGATTGTATGGTGTTTGACATACATTCTTGTGTATTATGGCCTGTAGGTAATGTGGAAACAAGGCTGCAAATATTCTATCATAGTGGTATTACTGTCATTGTTATGCTTGTGACCCTTCAGTTTTCCACATGTGAAACCAGCAAACAAAAAAAAATGTTTTACTTCAAAACAGGGAGGATGTAATATTCGTGCAGAGTATGTTGCATAATTTGCTAGCCACAGAATTGATTATTTAAATGATGCGTATATGTTTGCTAGAAGCTTGATGTTGATTGGTCGATGTACATGTGATCTGTTTTATGCATACTCACTGAAAGTCAGTTGGAGTAGTTCTACCTACCTGTACGGAGTGCAAGGTATCCTCCATGTCTTTCAATAAAGATCGTGCACTGCTATCCTGCCGTATTGCTTTAAAAACAGCAAGACAAAACATCTATTTCAACATTCAAGTCAAATTGGTGTACTGAAATAATTAAGTAAAAACTATTGCAGTGATTATTAACTTCAGTCTAACATAGAAATCCTATTGAATCTTTTAAGATTTGCCTTTTTTGTTAATAATGCTCTAATGTTTAAGAAATGTTTTAATAAATTGAAATAATGAGAATTTCAGATTTGTGTGTGTGGGGGAGGGGATGAATTGTGTTAAATGACTAACTTGAAAAAAAATTGCTTATCAATAAATTTATCATCAGATTAATCGAAAAGTTAGTTGTTAGATTAGTCGAATAATCGGGAAAATAATCACCAGATTAATTGTTTAAAGAATAATCGTTTGGGACAGCACTATAATGCACCCTACTGCCCAGTTCAAGCTATAAACGCTGAATTGTGATTATAACTCAGTGGACCTTGTTACATGTGGCCTAGATGTTTATTGTTATTCTTGTGACACAGTAGTACTCTGTTTAGGGCATTGTGTAGGTATCACATAGTTAATTATTGATAATACTAATTGAACTACCTTCCAGAGTTGTAATGAACACTAGCAGTCAATGCACAACTTAGGGTCTGTTATGTTTAACAAGTTGGTGGTACTTAATGGTTGGTAAACAGATTAACCCTTTAATTTCAGTCTTTTACGGATAAGTAACTTTTTGCTGCTGTCAGGACAGTATCACCCTAGTTTTATACTACAGGTAGACTGGCCTGTATGAAAGGGTTCACTTTGAACGTATAAAATATCATAATTTGCAATATGTGTTTTATTTTATTGAAGGGACCGGTTTGCATTTACAGTTGTAAAAAACTGCCTTTCATTTTCCCAAATATTTTAATAGATCATTAGATTTTAGAAAAGAGATCATAAACTTGCTAATTTGAAAGACTTTGATGAAGTTTTCACTTTATCTAAAAACTATTGCATTATATTCCAAGGCTGTAAAGAGCTAAATAAAAGCCCAAATAGTCAGATCACATACAGATTGTATTATAT